TCCTGTTGTGCCCGCGCCCCGCCGCCGCCGCCGCCGCAGCCCGGCGCCCCTTGCCCGCCGCCCGCGGCCCGGCGTGGCCGCAGCCCATGGATTTCACTTAGCGCCAGCGGCCATGGCGGCACAGTGCTGCTGCCGCAAGGCGCCTGGCGCGGAGGCCGCACCCGCCCGCCCGCCGCCCGAGCCGCCGCCCGCCCTGGACGTGGCCTCGGCCTCCAGCGCGCAGCTCTTCCGCCTCCGCCACCTGCAGCTGGGCCTGGAGCTGCGGCCCGAGGCGCGCGAGCTGGCCGGCTGCCTGGTGCTCGAGCTGTGCGCGCTGCGGCCCGCGCCCCGCGCGCTCGTGCTCGACGCGCACCCGGCCCTGCGCCTGCACTCGGCAGCCTTCCGCCGCGCCCCCGCCGCCGCCGAAACGCCCTGCGCCTTCGCCTTCCCCGCCCCGGGGCCGGGGCCCCCGCCGCCCCCGCTGCCCGCCTTCCCCGAGGGTCCCGGCACCGAGCCCGCCTCCTGCCCTCTGGCCTTCAGGCTGGACCCGTTCACCGACTATGGCTCCTCGCTCACGGTCACTCTGCCGCCTGAACTGCAGGCGCACCATCCCTTCCAGGTCATCCTGCGCTACACCTCGACCGACGCCCCCGCCGTGAGTCCCTCCCGGTGCGCGCAGGGGCTACGAGGCAGGGTGGTGGTGGTGGTGGTCCGCAGGGCTCTCCAGGTGGCTTCTTGCCGCGCTGCCAGGCCAGGAGACCTTAATCTGCACCCTGCACATGGGGCACCTGCAGAGAACGTGGGGGCAGCTTGGCTCTGGAGTCCTGCCCTAGTGCCTTCTGCAATTCCCAGCTGCTTCCTGTGAACACTTAGGAACTTTGGATAGAGCTCCAGGTCCAGGCCCGGTGGCAGTGGGGACCGTGACAGCATGTCACCCAGCGAGGTCCCTGTTAAGATGTTCTGTCCATGTCTGGGCTCAAGAGCAGCTTCTGATGGGCACCTGCCAAGCCATACTGGAGCCTGGCATTGAGGGGCTGGGGATGTAAGATGCAGAAGGGCCTCCTAGTGACCTTGCCTTCAGAGGGCTCAAACACCCACATCTGTTCTTTGGAAGTGGGCTGAGGGAAGGCCAGTCCCAGTGGGAGGCAGAGGAGAGGCTGGTGGACCGTGGGGCTTGGCTCTGGGCTCCAGCGCTGGGCTGGCAGTGTGCTGAGGAGGGTGGGCCTCATGCTCCCGGCACAGATGCACTAGGCTCTGCAGGGCTTTTGGCACAAGGCACCCCACCACTCCAGAGGACCTGCCAGAAAAGCCACGTGATCCAAGTCAGGCATTGTGACTGCATGGCCAATGGTGGGGCTTGCAGGATGGAGCAGAGCCTTTCAGTTCCAAAGCATAGTAGTTCATGCCAGGTCCCCAGGAAGCACATAAAGCACACATATGACATCCAGTGTGCATACACAGCATGTTCACAGCTCTGGAAGTCTTGGAAGGTCTTTTTTTTTCACTGCCCGGGACACCCAAATGGACAGGTCAGAAATCAGGATGGGCCAAGGTGACAACTGGGCAGGAAAAGCCCAGATTGGAGGTACACCTGTGGGCCTCCTGCACTTTCCCAGGAGCTCTGAGCAGAGCCTGCCACTTCATTGTCCTCCCAGAGCCCTGTGGGTCTGCCAGCTGCTGGCCCGCAGGGCTCGACCCTGCATGTGCAGTCCAGGGCTCTCTGGTGTCAGGTGTGCCTCTCTGCATGACAAGTGAGAACTGAGGAACAACTTCCTTCCCTGGACCTCATCTTGAACTTGGACTCCATGTGTCTGTTCTACCAGTGCCAGCCAAGTGGAGGGCCAGGGCTTTTGCCAGGCTGTGCAGACAGGGCCAGTGCGTAAAGTGTGGCCATTGTTTCTGGGCTTCCCTTGCCCTGCAGGGTGTCCCTTGATTGTTTCAGACAGGGAATGGTGATGTAGTCCCTTCAGACTGAGTGGATCCAGGATTGGTGGGCTGGGGACCAGGCTTGATGTGTGAGCTAGTCTATTTGCAGAAGCAGAGTGGCCTCTAGCTTTGGGCATTCACCGTTGCATGTGAGCACTGCAGAGCTCAGGGTCATGCCCCTAAGCCTGTCTTTCTGCCAAGCAGGGGAACAGCTGGGTTGTCCCACTCCCTGCCAGTAGGCCCTCCAGAGGGGCTGCATACTCTGGTCCACGCCCTCACACCCCAGCAAGAACAGCTTTTTTCCTGACCCGCAGTGTCTGTTCCTTCCCTACCAGATCGATGTTCAGCGGCTGAACAGGTTGCCCTGCTGGGGCTCAGTGACCCACCTCTGGGGTAGGGGCCAGCCTCTCAGTGGAGAGCATACAGCTGAGGTTAAGGGGGGAGAGCTGGGGAGAGCCTGAGGGGCCCCTGGGGAGGGAGGGAGGGCACTGCAGGAGTGGAGACAATGCAGAGGAGGAAGGGGGCTAAAGGCACGTGAGAACGGCCAGGGCCTGTCCTCCAGCATGGTCAGGGAACACCTGCAGAGGGCTTCACGCACTGCAGGGACACTCCGCCACATAGGTCCCTAGGTTCTGGGCCTGCAGATCCCAGAGCTCTGGGGCAGGACCAGGAGGCTGCACAAGGTCCCGAGACAGGTCTCTAGGGCAGCCCTGGGCCACCAGAAACAGAACCTCCGTAGGCTTGCTATGGTGAGGAGACAGGAACAGGACACAGAAGGAAGAAATCTGCCAACAGACAGGAGTCAGATCTGTGTGGAAGGCAGCACTTCCGGACCTGGGACCCGCCTGAGTGTGGGGTCTGCAGGGCAGGCAGCCAGCCCCCTGGTCTGGGGGTGGCTGCTCCCGGGTCTGGCCTCTACTCCCCCCTATGATAGTGGCCACTTTCAATTGCAGATCTGCCCACTCTTAGAGGAGAGTTGGAGGTGTCTTCCAGTTGTGGCCTGTTTGTTTGACTTTGTTTCGGCAATCAAACTGCCCCCTTCGCTGGCAGGGTGGGTGCAGGACCAGGCAGCATAGTGGCAGCTCTCAGGGTGGGCCTGGCCTCCCCCTCTGGGGTACAGAAAGTCTCAGCAGCAATGGGGTGGGCGGGAGGCTTGGCCCTGAGGGTGGGCAAGAAGAGCAAACCAAGCCACCTGCTCCAGCCCTGCCTCCAGGCACAGCCAGAAGCCCTCCATGGCCACTCCTGTCCTCTTGGCACTTGGTGTCTGGCCTTCATTTACTGGCAGGCTGCCCTGGCCTGAATGCTGGCCCTGGGCACAGGCTGACTCCTTGGCAGTGCTGGTCGCAGGAGGTTCTGGTTTTCCCGCTTTCTGTGATCCTGGCTGAGACCATGTGGGCTGCCAGCTGCGGGGGTTTGGACCAGGTTCCCCTTTGAAGCTCGGGTAATGCCATGAAGGGCTTTCTTCTCTCCTCCCTGTTAGGACTGGGCTGGACCCAGACATATGGCCTCCTTCCTGGGCAAAGCCTGGCTCTGGGGACTAGGGCAGGCCACAGGCCATGCTCTAGCTAATGACTCTTGCTGTTCCCCCCGCCCGGGGAGAGGTGAGGACCCAGGTGGGCAGTGCAGGCTATGGACAGGAGCTGTGCTCTGTGACAAGCCCAGCAGTGGTCCCCTTCCAGACCCCTACTGCCTTCCTCTCCTGCCACTGCCCCTTCCTTGGCCCCAAGGCTCTGGCCTCCAGCCTCAGGCAGGTGACTGCTGACCCTCAACCCTGCCTGCAGATCTGGTGGCTGGACCCAGAGCTGACCTACGGCAACGCCAAGCCCTTCGTCTTCACCCAGGGCCACTCCGTGTGCAACCGCTCCTTCTTCCCGTGCTTCGACACACCTGCCGTCAAGTGCACCTACTCAGCTGTGGTCAAGGTCGGGGCCCACCCGCGCCTCCTTCAGGGGCTGCATGAAGGGCCCAGGCCACTGGCCTGGCTAGTCACAAGGGAGCTTGCCTATCTCCTCTTCTCTGTTGCCTGTTTGGGCTGTGGCCTCAGATGCCACTAGGCCACTGTCCTAGAGAAATCCACCTCCCCACTGTGCAGAAGGACAGCTCTGCAGGGAGGGTGGTCAGGTTGCATTCCTGATGAGGGCCCTTCCCAGACCACAGTGAGGCCCTGACTGGACAAGAAGCCTTCTGTCAGGAGCATGGCTTGTAGGGCTGTCTGACGGGATGTTGGGTTCCCTCTCATGGATGGGGAGCTCCTTGACCGAGATTGTGGGACCCCCACCCAGGGGAGAGGTAGGGACACCAGGTGGGCAGTGCAGGACCCCCCACTGGAAGGTATAGGGCTCCCTGGTGAAGACCTGGGTCCCTATCACAGATATGGGTCTCCTGTCCTGGGGGTGAGTGCCCTGCCTGGTAGACTGCCTGTCCTCAGCTGGCCCCCTTGCAGGCCCCATCAGGGGTACAGGTGCTAATGAGTGCCACCCAGAGTGTGTACCTGGAGGAGGAAGGTGTCTACCGCTTCCACATGGAGCACCCTGTGCCCGCCTACCTCGTGGCCCTTGTGGCTGGAGACCTCAAGCCAGCAGACATCGGACCCAGGTAGGCCTCCGGTCCTGCTGCTCCCATGCAGGGTGGTCCAGGCCTCAGGCAGAGCCCCCACAGCCTGGGTCTGCACCCTGCACCCACAGCTGCCCTGCCCAGGCCCCTGGGCTGCAGGTATGTGGCCTGCTGCCAGGCCCTGCTCATCCACACATTCTCAGACCAGACAGCCTGACCTGTCCAGTGCTCTATCAGCCTGAACTTCCAGGGCCACATGCAGCCACATGCTCTCGCAGGTTCCTTGACCCAGTGACAGTGACAGAGCAGATCAAAAGGTCGCAGAGTGCGGGGCCACCCCTGCACTCCGGAGGGAAGGGCCACTGTAGCCCCTGTCCAGGGTGGTGAGCTAAGGCAGTCAGCCCGCCAGAGGAGGCAGAAGGAAGGCCTCAGCCCACCCTGTGCACCCTCTGCAGGAGCCGCGTGTGGGCAGAACCATGTCTCCTCCCCACGGCCACCAGCAAGCTGTCAGGGGTGGTGGAGCAGTGGCTGAGTGCGGCAGAGCGGCTCTACGGGCCGTACATGTGGGGCAGGTACGTCCTGTCCCCTGGCGGCCTGCCACCACGTGAGGGAGGCCACGTCCCTGCCCTCTGGAGGAAGAAGGGGCATGTCCTAGGCCCTGTCCCCCCTCTCCTGGGAAGAAGGGGACTCCCTGCAGGGCTGCCCCTGAGGGAGGGCCTGTGAGGCCTGCTGATGCCCGTCACCTGCACTCCCGGCACAGGTACGACATTGTCTTCCTGCCCCCCTCCTTCCCCATCGTGGCCATGGAGAACCCCTGCCTCACCTTCATCATCTCCTCCATCCTGGAGAGTGACGAGTTTCTGGTCATCGATGTCATCCACGAGATGGCCCACAGCTGGTTTGGCAATGCCGTCACCAACGCCACGTGGGAGGAGATGTGGCTCAGCGAGGGCCTGGCCACCTACGCACAGCGCCGCATCACCACAGAGACCTACGGTACCACCTGGGGAGGAGTCTGGAGCCGCCTCGGGCAGATGGGGCACTGCCCTCTGCCAGGGGCTAGAGCTGGCCCAGCCTCCTGTGTTCTGTGTCCTGCTCTCCTCTGGGGTCTGGCCCACAGGCTCAGGGCAGGGAGCTCAAGGGCCAGCGTGGCTCCACTGTGGCAGCTCTCCCGACTCCACCACCTCCTCTCGCCTGCCTGGCCCTCCCCACCCAGGTGCCGCCTTCACCTGCCTGGAGACAGCCTTCCGCCTGGACGCCCTGCACAGGCAGATGAGGCTCCTCGGAGAGGACAGTCCAGTCAGCAAGCTGCAGGTCAAGCTGGAGCCAGGTGCCTGCTCCCCCCAGGCCTGTGCCTGGGACCCGGTGGATGCCACCCACCCCTCAGGCCTCCTTCCCTGCCTCTGGCTTGCCCAGGCCGGGCTGAGTCCCCACCAAGGTCAGGATGGGTGTTCCCAGCCCAGGGAATGCCTTCTGGGCTACCCTGGCCTGCCACTGTCTCATGCCTTCAAGTGCCCATCACTGAGATGTGGACCCTCAGGTGCCCGAGCCCCCAGGCAGGGAAGGGCCAGGCCCATCCCTGCACACCCAGGGTGCTAGTAGGACCCTGACCTTATGAGGGACAGTGGCCCTCTGCCCATCCTGCTCCTCAGTGCAGGCCACAGCCCTCCCCTCCCCTGCCAGCCCAGACAAGGTTTTCCCTGCAGGCGTGAACCCCAGCCACCTGATGAACCTGTTCACCTATGAGAAGGGCTACTGCTTCGTGTACTACCTGTCCCAGCTCTGTGGAGACCCCCAGCGCTTCGACGACTTTCTCCGAGTGAGCATTGGACCTGCACCTCCTGCCTCAGCCCCGCCCCAGCACACAGGGCTGCCTGTCTTGGGGGGAGGGTGGCGTCCGTAGGGACACCCAGAGCCCTACCAGGACCTGGCCTGCTGAGACACCACGGCCCTCCTCTCCTGTCCACCCCAGTGGGCCGCTAGCGTCCATGGCACACACCCTGAGTTGCTGTGAAGGCCCCCAGCTCTGACCGGGGCCAGGCATGCCCAGCCCTCCAGGCCTGCTCAGTCGCCACCCCTCCTCACACAGGCCTATGTGGAGAAGTACAAGTTCACCAGCGTGGTGGCCCAGGACCTGCTGGACTCCTTCCTGAGCTTCTTCCCAGAGCTGAAGGAGCAGAGCGTGGACTGCCGGGCAGGTGAGAGTGGGGATCTGTCTGCCCAAGCTGCGGGCCCTACCTGGAGAAAAGCCCCATCTGTCACATCTTTCCTTTAGCCAGCCCTCACTGACCCCCGTGGACCCCAAGCCTGGACCATGAGAACAAAGGAGGCTGTGCCTCCCAGCCTGAGGGGGCCTCCTGGAGGAGGCGGCACTTAGGTGGAGCAGGCCAAGTTAGGAGCCAGGGGACCAGGGCCCAGCGGGATCCTAGGGGGCAGGGTTGGCCCTGCTGGCTCCACTACACCACACCCTCGAGGACTTCCCAGAGGGTCTGAGGGTATGGGGGATCAAGGAAGGAACTGGAGGGTCCTGAAATCCAGGGAGGGGCCAGAATTTGCTGGAAGGCAATGAGGCACAGCTGGGAGATCTGGGCACGGTGACCCTAAATTCTGGAAGGTCCCTAAGTGCATCAAGTGTTTTTTGGGGGTAGGGGAGTGGCCAGCCTGGTACCACTGCTTTAGAGCATGTGTCATCACCTCTCACAGTGAAGTCACCTTTAAAGGACTCAATTGTCTTGTGCCCAGGCTGGGCCTGGAGAGGGTGGAGGTCACATGGCCACTGACCCGAGTCCTTCTGGCTTCCCTGTGACCTTCACAGGAGTCTCTCCGGGGGCTTAAAGAGGCAGGCACTGGCCGGAGATGACCCTTCCCAAATCACCCATGTCCCTGGGAGCCTCAGTTCCTGGAACCAGCCACTTCAGACTGGGTCTTCTGGGCAGGCTGGGTGGGACCACAGGACCGCTGTTCCCTGCAGGGCTGGAGTTTGAGCGCTGGCTCAATGCCACGGGCCCACCGCTGGCCGAGCCGGACCTATCTCAGGGGTCCAGCCTGACCCGGCCTGTGGAGGCCCTGTTCCAGCTGTGGACGGCGGAGCCCCTCGATCAGGCGGCAGCGTCAGCCAGTGCCGTGGACATCTCCAAGTGGAGGACCTTCCAGACGGCACTCTTCCTGGACCGGCTCCTGGATGGGTCCCCGCTGCCTCAGGGTGGGTCCCTCAGCCAGCAGGTGGCCCTGGGGGGAGTGGCACTGGCCTGGCCTGACTTGCCGCTGCCCCACAGAGGTGGTGATGAGCCTGTCCAAGTGCTACTCCTCCCTCCTGGACTCCATGAACGCTGAGATCCGCATTCGCTGGCTGCAGATCGTGGTGCGCAACGACTACTACCCAGACCTCCACCGGGTGCGGCGCTTCCTGGAGAGCCAGGTGCAGACACCTGTCTGGGGTCGGGGCTGGGGGTGGCCTCACTCAGGGGCCCAACCACCCTCTCTCTCTCTCCAGCCTGACTGCTCAGGCACACCAGAGAGCTGGGTGGCAAGGTCTGGGGGTCTGGGCTGGGAACCGGCCTGAGTCGGGGGAGACAGGTATAAGTCAAAGCTCAGAGGCAGCCTGGACTGCACCAGTCCTGGGAGAGAGACCATGGAGGCCCAAGATGGGAGTTGGTGTCCAAGGGTCTCCGCTCACAGCCTGGACCTGGACCTAGCTGGGCCTCCAGCCTGTGGTGTTCAGCTCCCAGGTGGGCACAGGGGCATCCAAGTTCCTCCAACAGTGGCAGGTTCCAGCCTGTGGGACCTGACTTCCCTGGGGCACCCCTCCAGCCCAATCAGCATGGAAGAGGAGGTCAGGGTGACCGACTGGTGGGGGTCTTGGGCTGTGTGAGTCCAGACCAAGGCCTGGTGAAGCAGCTGGAGCAGGTCCAGGGATTGGAAGGCCTCCCTCCAGGCGGGGTTGGTGGGAGAGGCCCGGGGAGCCCACTAGGTGACCTGGTGTCCCCACAGATGTCGCGCATGTACACCATCCCACTGTATGAGGACCTCTGCACGGGTGCCCTCAAGTCCTTTGCGCTGGAGGTCTTCTATCAGACGCAGGGCCGGCTGCACCCCAATCTGCGCAGAACCATCCAGCAGATCCTGTCCCAGGGCCTGGGCCCCAGTGCCGAGGCCAGCACTGAGCCCAACGCTGAGCTGGCCAGAGCTGGGGCAGAGGCAGGGTCAGACTCGGCAGCCCTGCTGCTTGGCGACGAGGCCCCCAGTAGCGCCATCTCTCTCAGGGACGTCAACGTGTCTGCCTAGCCCTGACATTGGGCCAACCTTCAACCTCCCAGACACCAAGATTGTGCCTTCTGTGGCCCGGGCTGCCATGACTGCGCCTTGGCTCTGGCCACGAGCTCGGCCCGGGCCCGTGAGCCTCTCCCGTGGGCTCTCCCGTGGGCTCTCCCAGGCTGGGGGCTTGGGGAGAGGGATTCTGTCTAGTGGCAGCCCTGGGGGCCTGAGCTCATCCTGTCCCAGCTGTCCTGCACTGTGGGCCTCAGGACTGGCCTTACGCACCACGCCTCCCATCTCAACACGGACAGCCATGTGTGGCCCCGGACACCCGCACCTGCCGGACACCATCCTGGGACCGCAGCTCCAGCAGCTCATGGCGACCACCACACTGTGCCTTACGTCTGCAGACAGGCTGCACTGCCCCCCAGGCACAGCTTCCCCAGAACCCTGCACTGTTATCCCCTGGCAGAGGGCCAAGGACGCGATGTACCCTCACTGTGGGGGCTGGGGACAGGAGAGAAGGGGCATCACATGGGGAGCCTTGGCCCCTCGGAGGCCTGTTCTCCCAGCTGCCTGGGGTAGCGGCACAGCCACCCGGCTCACCCCAGGAAAGGGGTGGTGCCGATGCTCTTGGGGCACACCTGCTGGAGGCACCAGGTAGGACGGCTCCAGCTTGGGACTGTGCAGTGGGCACCACGTGACGGTCCCATTAAAACTCCACTCTGCAGACTGACCTCCCTTTCTGTCTGTCCCCATGCCTGTCCTCTGCCCTGTATGGGGCTGGGGTTTGGGACAAGCACTGCCCCAGAGCCCACAGCAGCAGGCCTCCCCTTGTCCTCTGCCAGGCCTCCTGGGCATGAGCATAGCCTCCCCAGGACCTGCAGAGTGGCAGGCTGTCACACCCTGACTGTGGACCGTCACCCGAGTCTGGCCTTGGTGGCAGGTCTCTTCCACAGTAGAGTGCAGGCAGAGGCATTTGTGGCAGGGAGAGTCTTGGAGGTTACGGGTGTAGGAACTGTAGGAAGTCCCCCAATGCAGGGCCACCACCATTATGGCAGGCCATGGGGTTTGATGTCCCCACTGTGACAAAGGCAGCTCTGCTCACAAGGTGGTGGCTGGCAGAACTCCACATAGCCACTCAAGGACTCAGGCTGGCAGCAGGGCCACCACCTGGACCGCGCAGAACTTTGCTTCTTCCACCTGGGCAACATGCTGTGGCCTGGAGGTAACACGTCTCTTGTCCCAGCTGGCTGGCCACCCTCCAGTCTCTGTCACCAGTTGTCTCATGCACCCTCTTTCCTGTTCAGGATGTACCCTCCCACCTCCCAGGGGAGACAGTCCAAGTACCCTCCAAAAGTTTGGGACCAGGGTTTGAGTCACCTCTCCATAAGATGGCTCATGTGCACAGTCCACCGCAGCACTGGGACATCCAGGGACAGGAACCCAGAGGTCACCTTACCCTCATACCAAGCACAGAACAGGGAGGGGATGGATGCAGTGGTGCCCTACACAGGAGAAGGACGGGGTCACCTGATCTCAGCCCTGCCGGGTGGCCACAACCAAAACCAACACACAAGCTGCGTTCTCTGGACCTAGGCACCATCCTCATAAGGACCCACCCTTTTGCTGGTTCCTTGCCCTCGCCCCAATATGGGGCCCACAGAAAGGCTGTCCCTGGCAGCCTCTTCCCCGTGAAAGCTGCCTCCAGGTCTCCAGTCAAACTAATCCCAGGCTCGTGGTTTCTTTGGCAATTATTCAAGGCAACACCTTTGTGGTCTCCGGCTTCCTGACCCCAGTGCCAGGCGCCACACCCGCACCCACAGAGCTGCCTCCAGACACTGCTTGGATCTGTCAGAAGAGACACCTAGCAGTGATAGCCACAGTGGGGGCACGCCCAGGATGCCATCCTTGATGCCACTCTGTCCTGGCTCTGCACACTCCCATCAGGGGGCAGAGGCATGCCCTTTGAGAAAAGCCCTGCCCTCCCGGCCTGCCTCACTGCCTTTCTCCAGCTCCCAAACCTGGAAGGTGCCATCGGTTCCCTTCCTGCAGGTCCTTGTCAAGGCAGCCTGTGACCAATCTTCACTGCCAACCCGCTCCCCACCTCCTCCGCTCCACTCCTGTTAGTGCATGGCACCTGCTTCGCGAGGCCCGCCGGTGAGCCAACATTCCAGCTGTGTTTGCTGACAGCCACGGCCCAGTGTGGTCAGTGCATGCCCGTGTTCTGTCAGGCTGGACTGCTGGAGCCACCAGCAATGCGGCAGCACTGCCGTCTGCAGCAAGGAAGTTCACGTCTCACTCAGGCTGCAGTCCACCTCGGCTGGCAGGGTGGCTGGGCTTTCTCCTTAGGGTGCTGATGGAGGAGACACTGGGGTTCCCAGGCACTGTGCCAGGATAACAAGAGCTGTGGAGGGCCCTACACCACTTCTGTTCCTGCAGGCCCACCCACCCCAGCCTGAGCACGGCAGTCGGGGTATTTGGCAGACAGCACCCATCACCACCGGAGGCCAGAATGTTGGGAAGTGCCTGCCTTTAAGAACAGGGTAGGGGCTTACCAGCAGGTAGGAGGAGAGTGGTTAAAGGAACCAGGATGTTACTGAAAAGGGGACGGGGCCTCAGTGCAAGAGACTGGCCTCCAGAAGCCAGCTGGAGGGCTGACGCCTGAGGCAACCGTGTGAGGAGGTGGGTGGATTTGCATGTTCAGTCCCTATTGCCTGGAAGCTCTCCAGTCCTTAGAGTTCAGATGAAGTTTTCCGAGTCTCAGATAATGTCTTATGAAGTTAGACTTGTCCTTAGTGCTTCTCTTCCTTTCCCTACTCTTATTAAAACTTACTGGTGGTATTTGCTTCTTAAGTCCAGAGGTTTTGGACAGAATAGTGGGAACATCTAGCACAAAGATCAGACACAACTGAGAATAACTCACTTGGGTTAATAAACATGTGGAAAAGGACAACATGCTCAGCCAACCAAATTTAGACCAAACAGAGTTGAAGAATGATCAGAAGAGGGCTTTAGGACACATTAAAGAATCGGACAAATGGTGCGTGTATCTGTGTGTCTGCATGCATGTAAAATAAACTATACAACAGGACTAGGTCTTTGTGAAACAAGAACAGGTAGTAATGAAAAAACAGCCAAATACCTTAGAATTTTTAAAAAGTTAATTATTAAGAGAAATAAAATGAAAATTCTGTAGAATAGTCACAATGAAGAGGAAATTCATAGCCTGGAATATCAAGACAGAGTGAAGTGATTTTTTTTTTTTAAGAAAAAAAAGTAGTAGAAACTACTTAAGATTTGGGGGTCAAGAAGTAAAAAATAAAACTACACAAAGAAGTTAAATTTGATCAAGGCACCCTAACCCTCAACCATTCGTTCCTCTTGTCATACTAGGGGCCTTACCAAGAGTCCTTCCTCCCACCAAGTCTTCGGCCTCCCTTTTCTGTAGCTGGTTTCTCCTCCTTCCTCCTCTGAGTCTCATCTCTCTGCTTTCCCCATCAGCCCATCCCACTCATCCAGGTGGAGCCATGCCCTCACCTACCTACCCAAGTACCCATGGAGGTTTCCCTAACAAAGGCTGTTTGTACTAAGAGGAATATGATGTCAGCTGCAAAGACTATCCTCCCACCCTCTTTCCCCATGAATGATCACTTGGTCAGACACTGGGAGAACAGAATCCCAAGAGAAGGGGAATCATAGCCAAGTGTGGGGCTGGGCAGGGACATCCTCAGTTATGTGTGGAGCATGGTAAGGGTGTGGCCAGAGCCACTAGGCTCAGCACAGGACCTGAGGGAGCTCTTGCTGGCCAAGGCAGAGTGTTCAGACCATTGCCACCTAGAGAGCACTCTTTGTTCAAAATGAATGAACAAACAAAAACCTCACAGTCTCTCAAGTGGATTCAACAACCGTGATACTGGCAACAGCCCACATCTAAAATCTGCTCACCTCTAAGGACGGAAGCCAACTTTGGAGACTATCTACATAATACTTATAAGGTTTAAGAACACACCTTGGGATAATAGGTTAAAAAAAAATCCTATAAGAACCATGTATTGTTTTTGTAATGGGAAAAAACCAAGGCTTAATCTAAAATATCAGCAAAAAAGAGCCCCTGCTCTGCTGTGGTGAGCAGAGTGAACTAGGCCAGCCTGGTGTGAAGCACAGCTGGCCCCTCCAGAGATGCTGGTCTTTCCTCCTGTATGGTCCTCGGCCATGGCCTGCCGCCTCTGAAGCTTGAGTTCTTCACTCATAAAACAGGACAGGAATGCCGACCTCTGGGATGCGTAAGGATCACACAAACAACACTCAACATTCCAAAGGCAGCTGTCCCTTCAAGTCTTTGGTATTTGTATTCGCCCAGGTAAACCCTCTTCACTATCCTTAGAAAGACCAAGCTGGTTCCTGTTCTAGTCCTGCCTGGAAGGATTCCTCTAACTAGAACCTTTAGTGCTTGGTTTAAAGGTAAATTGTGTGTTTGTGTGGGAAAGGGGAGAAACCCAAGCTTCTAGGACCCCACCCCCACTGTATCAATCTGAGAAATTTCCCAGGAGATCCATGCTTGGGTCACTGGCAACCCCCTCAAAGCCCAGGACCATAACTGTTGCTAACTGTCCTTCAAGGACCAGGACTGTGAATGCCACTGACCACTCCTGGAGGCCCAAGAACAGTACCTTTGCTGACCACTCCCTATGGCCCAGGACTGGCTGCCTGATTTGTATCCTCAAGACCGTTGAACAGGCACTACCATGGACTATAGATGAGGAAGCGGAGGCTCCAGGAAGGGCCAGGACTCTAGCTGGGCAGGTCCAGGGGATCTTTGCTTAACAACACTGGAGATTCTGGAGCCTGGGCTGCTGCCTGGGGTCCCTTTTAGGCCCACTGGGGCAGGTGCCAGGCTCCTGTCACTTTTCAGGCTTGAAGGGGCAGGATGTGCACAGTGAAAACTGGCCCTGCAGGGACATGACAGCAGGCCTGGTCCCCAGCAGGTGGCCAACACGGGCTGCTGGTCTTCATTGGTCACGGGCCTGAACTACCCTGTGTTTCAGACCTGAAAACAAAGCTGTGTGCTTTCTCCACTGTTCTTTGTCCCGCTGGCTTGCTGATCTGATGGGGTCCAAAGTTGATCTCTTCCAATCCTGTGGTGCCACCACCTAGAGCACCTGCAGTCCCACCTTGTAATGATGAGTCACTAAGCGCCTTTTGTTCTTCTTGGATACTTCTGATTGAACCCAGGGGAGCTTCACCACTGAGCTACCTCCTAGTCCTTTTTATTTTTTGAGACAAGCTCTCACTAAATTGCTCAGGCTGGCCTCAAACTTGCTATCCTTCTGTCTCAGCTTCCAAGTCACTGGATGTGGGAGGCCAATCTAGCACCTGACTCCCCTGCTGAAAGGTGTGGTATCCCATATGGCACCCAGCGGTCACACTGCTGGAGAGCCCTTTCTTCTAGGGTGCAAGCAACTGTGTCTTCTTGCAGAACTTCTTGCAGAACTCCACATCCCCAGGGATCCAATCACCTCACCTGTCCCTGTAACCCCGCCCCCCTTGACCTTCACTGGATGGGATTTCCTAAGAATTTAGATTCCCCGAAGAAAAGCTCACTCCAAAACCTGCGCTCTGGCTCGCGCTCTCCCTCTCCCCAGCCTCGGTGTAGTTCCTCACTCTCCAGTTTGCAGAGCTTGAGGCCATGGGCAGAGGAGCCCTCCCAGTGCTTGGTTTAAAAGTAAATTGTGTGTTTGTGTTTTATTTCTAACGCCTGGAGAATTTCCCGAGTGACCTTAAAATAGCCATCTGTGCTGGACGCAGACGGCAACTGGGATTACAGTCATGTGCCACCACAACTACCTTACCTTCCCTGCTGCCCTAGACTGGGGCTGCTTTGAGCACACAGCAGTGAGAGATCTTTTTAAATGCAAACATGCAGTCTCCCTTCATCCTCAAGTCCCATTTCTCACCTCTGGACCACATAAGAGCCCTGGGCCTAGTAGACAGGCCCTCCCTGGAGGATGCGGCTGCAGTGGTCCTCTACACATGCCACCCCCCTCATCTCATTCCTTGGGCATGCAGGGGTCTTAAAGGACTGCCACCAATAGCAATGCTCCTCTCCTAGCTTGGGCTGGACTTGGTGACTTGCTTCCAATGATGCCATGTGGGAAGGATGGAATATGCCACCTGGGATGGGCCATACAACACACTTCAGCCTCCACTTTCCCTTTCTACTGGATTATCTGCTCTGGAAGAACTGGAGGCCATGTTGTAAGGACGCTCCAGAAGCCTCCTGGGCATCCAGATGGTGGGGAAGCAAGGCTTCAGGTGACTCTGGAATGGACCCTCCAGCTGTAGCCATGCCCTCCCTCAGGGGAGGTCAGCTCTGGCCTGACATTTGATTTTCTTCCTGAGAGATCCTGAGCCAGAACTATTTATATTACCAAATTCCCGACAGAAGCTGTGATAACGTTGGCAGTTCTAAGCCACTAAGTACTGGGGTAACTTGTTAGGCAGTTGTATGGAGTTAACACAGAAGGCCTGCAAGTCTGTTTTGCTACAATGAAAGCTGCAACTCAAAGTCACTCCAACAGTAAGACTGAATCAATGGTACCACATGCCCAGGAGCCCAGGTGAGATAACTCTGGCCCTGATCAGCCCAGGGCTCAGCAGAACTGCCAGCGGCCAGCTCGTCCTTTCTGCTCCAGGTCTTCAGCAGCATGCTCTTTGCCCTCCGGCTCAGCTCTGTGTGGTTGCCAGCTACTGTGACAGTTCCTGGCACTCCATCCACAGGAGCTGGCATCTGTGGGCAGGAGAGGATGTATGCCCTTGTGTCTTCTGTGGACCGGGGAGAGACCTCCCTGGCAGCCCCCAGACTACTTGTGCCTTATTGCCAACCTGGGGCACATGGTACTTTCTGAACTTCTGACCTTGGAGCTGGGAGGAGGTCAAACTCCCCAGGTGACTTAGCTGCCAGAAACCAAACAACTGAAACCAGTGTTCTTGTGGGCAGAGGTGACAGCAGCTGTGCCATGTATGACAAAAAGGGTTGTACCTTCAGTGCAGTACTAAATAAACATCTCAGTCCAGAGCCCGTAGATTTGGGAACAAGAACCAGCAGCCTCCATACCCCTTCTTAACATCACTCCACGCTGCTTCCAACCCCTCCTGTTACCCCAGGAGCCAGAGTCAGGGATGGGGGTGACCCAGGAAGGAGAGGAGGAAGCTCTCCAAATCAGCTGAGGGCACACCTCTGCACTCTGGGACAGTGGACAGGACCATGGGGCATAAATTGTAAAATGCGAGCAGACCGGAATTGTCCTGATGCCACCTCTAGCTAAAAGAGAAGCAATGCTGGTCACTCACTCATCCTGCAGGCCTGGGTTGCTACCTATCCAGCACCAGCTGTCTCCTGGCCCCTTCCAGATCTTGGGGATCTGGCTCTGGGCATAGGCCCAACCCTGGAAAGGTGTGGCCACAGGAGGCTGCTTGCTTGCCAGAGGTTGTCAACATGGGTGAGTGGCACAGGAAGCCTCAGATGAGTCTGGATCCAGGCTGGTCCCAGTTCTGCTAGTCATGCAGGGTAAACCAGTTGCTCAGCACTTAGGACAGGGAAGAGATTTGTCTTCTACTCCTACAGGATCCCCAGGTGAAGCACAGCCCAGGTCCTTCCTGACTCCTTTTAGGTCTGGTGCAGCCACCAGCCAGCCAAAGAGTCACAACTGTCTTCTGTGCTAAATGAGCAAAAAGCATCCCAGACAGGGGTTGGGCTATGTGGTCACTTCCTTTTCTGGAATGTTCACAAGGAGATGAGTATCCTGGGCCCCAAACTATGGGGCTGGGGGCTGGCAAGGTCAAGGCAGCACAGCCTCCTGGCACAGGAAGCACTAAGACAGGCCCGGTCCAGCCTCTCACTGGGAAGAATCGCAGCTTTCACCGGCATCTGGGACTCCAAGGCAGACAGAAGGTAAGGGCAGGGGTCCTGGGCCAGGTTCGTTTCTCTTCCAGCACTAGGGACTTTTCTCACCTAACTGCAGAAAAAGAGCTTTGTTCTGACTACCTTCAGATTCCAAGGCTGCGAAGACAAAATCTGAGCTGCACCATCAGGAGACTGACAGCTGCCACTAGGAGGAGGGGCCGCTCCTCTTCTCCCCGACCGGACCCTACACTTCGGCTTCCGTCCTGGCAGTGGACACAAGGTCCTGCAGCACGGTCCTGGGGCCCTGCCCTCACTTCCCCGCGGCAGTGAGCGGCCACGAGGGGTACCCGCGCGTCCAGGAGACCCGACGCCCGGCCGCCTGCGACCCCCGGAGCACCGCGGCCGCTCCTGCCCCCCGGAACCCGACGCCAAGCCCGGGCGGCGCCGGCGCCTCGGAGCGCTACCCGCGGGCGCCGGCACAACCGGAGCCGGGCGCGGCCCGCCCAGGTCACGCCTCTCCGGCGGCGCAGCGCCGGAAGGAGGGCGCCTTCTGGGAGCCGCGCGGGGCGCTGGGATCCGCAGTCCGCGGCGCCGACTCGCCCCGGCCGCCCTCTCAGGTCCGCGGCGCTCCCACCCCGTCCGGAGGGGGAAGGGGCCTCGGTCGGCGCGGTCCCAGCGCCCGCCGGCTCCGGGAGAAGGACGGCGGGGGCGACGGCGCAGCCTCGCGAGAGCCGGGCCCGGAAGCCCCGCGCGCTCGGAGTCCGCTCGCGCTCGCCAACGCTCGCGCGCGATTGGGCCGCTGCGTCACCTGACCCGAGCGACGCGCCCGGTTGGCTGCGGCCGAGTTACCTGGCGACGGAGCGGAGGGCTTCGCGGCGGGGGCAGCGTCCGTCGGTCCCGCGGGCGAGGCAGGCGCGGAGCAGCGGCGGCAGCGGCGGCGGCCGGGTCCACGGGCTGCAGATGGGCGCTCAGGGCGCCGAAGATGCTGGCGGGCCGGGGCGAGGCGCCGGCGCGGGAGCTCTTCCGGGACGCGGCGTTCCCCGCCTCCGACTCGTCGCTCTTTTTCAACTTGTCCACACCGCTGGCCCAGTTTCGGGAGGACATCACGTGGAGGCGGCCCCAGGTGGGGCCCGGCCTGGGCGGGTCTCGGGCGGGTGCGGCGGGAGGCCGGCGCGCGCCTCGCAGCTCCTCAGGTGGGCGGGGAAGGAGCTGGGAGCGCCAGGACCCGGCGGGGCGCTGGCCCACCTGCGGAGCTGACCCACGGCGTGCTGCTCAGATGCGCTCGGTGGAGAGTTGGCCCCGGGATGTTTGTACCACGACCAAATGAGACCCAGAGGCGAGACGTTATGAATGAAATTGTTCCCATGTGCAGAAGGGAAAGGAAAGCATTGTTTGCAATTCTGTCCCTCCACATACTTGTGGCCACATGTAAGTCCCGCGTACGGCCACTCAGACCTCTCGCCCTCTTCGTTTGTTTCCACAGGCCTCGGCGTTTTGCATATGCATGCCAAGAGCCGATGCACGTGAGAAGTTGGGATCGTTATAGACAACCACAGCATGTTGGAACAACCTAGGGAAGGGTGGCTGCTGTTCCACACATCCCAGGACTCTAGTGAATGTAGAACCAGGCTGCACTACACACTGCCGAGTGTGCAGACAAGTTTGGATCTCCTAGAATTTCCAAGTCAGTTGAACAGTTATGTCTGAGTTCAGCTGGAGAACTTGACCCTCAGGAGCAGGTTGTTGCTCAAGGCACAACAACACATGAAATACCTAGCCCCTGTTTTTTTTCTCTGAAGAGTCTATACCTGCCTCTTCTGGCCACAAGCCTTCCTGTTCTATTGCTTGTGACTGCCGTTCTCAGGCTCTGAGGTCCCTTTGTGCCCTCTGGAAGGGCCAGATTAAGCCCACAAAGCAAAACCGTTGTAGAAGTTCAATTTTGGATTTTGCCAACACTCCCACGCAATTGGGCCGCTGTAAGCCTCCCATAGTCCCAGTGGCTTGGAGTCTGAGGCAGGAGGATCCCGAGTACAAAGCCAGCCTCAGCAACTTAGTGAGGACCTAAGCAATTCAGTGAGATCCTGTCTCTAAATAAAAATATCTAAAAAGGGCTGGGGACATGGCTCAGTGGTTGAGTGCCCCTGAGTTCAATCTCCAGTAACCCCCCCCCCAAAAAAAAAATGGGATTTAGGTGTAATGAGCCCCAGTAGAAAGTTTTTGATAAAGGAATGATTCTATGGAATTCTCTTTTAAGAAGTTCACTTGTAGGGGACTGGAGCAGAGGATGACAGGTTGGCATTAAAATGTATCTAATAGCTTTTTATTCTTTCATGGCAATTTTTTAAATATTGTAACTATCGAGTTCACATCTATTCATAATAATAACAGTATTCAACAAGAAAGAAGCAGCACTGTGGGAAAAGAAAGAAGCTTACTGATACTCCTGGGCAGGAAGTGGATTGTTGAGGCGAGAGTGCCTATGGCCCTTGCAGGACGCTCGGGTACACGAGCAGCAGAGGGCAAGGCTTGGGAATAGATGGACTTGAGGTTACTTTGGAGGGAGCTGGACAGGCCATAGTGACTGGTGAAGTTGAGGATAACGGAGGAATCAAGAATGATTTCTCAATGTTTGGCCTGAGAAACTGGATTGGTGGTGGTCCAGGTGAGAGTCCAGGGTGCTCTGGAGTTGGGTTTACCCCCCATGTTCAGATGGAGCTGTTAGGAAGAGCTGGGCTAGAGGCCTCCCTATGGGTATGGAGCAAAATTTGCAGCTGGTCCAGGGCATGGAAGAGCATGTGATGTGGGAGGATGGGTATCCGAGGGGCAAGGCTGAGCCCAAGGAGCCCGAAGGTGTTACGCATGGTGAAACAAGTGCCTGACCCAAGGCTGTGAGGGCAGTTGGACTGGAGGAGCGTGTGGACTGTGCGAGCCCAGAGGGCTTGCTGGCATGCCTTCAGGGGTTGGTGTTGTTAGAAGTGACACTGTGGAGGTGACTTGGTGGAGGGTTGGGAATACGACTGACAGTCTAGCAGGGCCTGTGTTGAGCATGAGGGAGGAACAACATAGTAGTGCTCCTGAGGAGGTCATTGGGAAGCAGCCGTGACGCCAAGGGACATGTTTTAAAGATGGTGCCTCTCCCCACCCACACCTGGGGTGGAAAAACTGAGCACATGGCAGGAGAGGTCAGGCCAGTGGCTTCTGGTGAAGCAGGAGGGAGGCCAACAGCTCAGGAGCATGGGCAGGGGCAGCATGGACACTGTGAGACACGAGGGGGAAGGGAGGAGTGTGGGATATGGAGCCTTGTGGGAAAGTGGTAAGTTTTCCAGCGTATAGAGAACCCTGTGCCATTATTAATTTATGAGGTGAAATTGTTTTCTAAACCAGTATTTAGTTGTTTTGAGAAGGGGCATGGTTGAATTCAGCTAGAGTTGAGGATTTTGCCAAGAGGGTAGGTGGATAGAGATGGACACACCTGAGTTTGAACTGGACCCCTGAATCTGGATCTGAAGCCAGGAGGATTTGAAGGATAATGGCTAGGAGGAGCCAGCGCCCCCCACACCCCTCATTTTGGGTGGGGAAACTCCAATGATCAGAAATAATCAGGCAGCATCTTTGTGTCCTTCCTGAAGACTGGCCATCAGGCATACACTAAGATTGGATGATTTTCTTTATTTTAGGAAATTTGTGCCACGCCCCGGCTATTCCCAGATAACCCTTGGGAAGGACAGGTGAAGCAGGGGCTGCTGGGCGATTGCTGGTTCCTGTGTGCCTGCGCCGCCCTGCAGAAGAGTCGGCATCTCCTGGACCAGGTATGGGGCTCCCGGCCCAGGGTTGTGACCAAGCAGGCCTCTCTCTGCACAGGGAGCCCCTTCAGACACACAGCCCTGTGCAGTGCTTCCGTGGCTGTGCAGGAGGTCAGTGGGAAGCTTGAGGGCTCCAAGCCTGCGACTATTGACCAGCATATCCCTCTCATGCAGGAGTGGACCAGATTGGGGGTCTCTGCCCCGCTCTGAGATCTGGTTCTCCATGTGGCCAGAGCCACGCTCTTGGGGTAAAAAGACATGGGCCAGCTGTTTTCATCACCTGGTAAAAAACATCTTTCCTTAGAGAGATAAAGGTTTATTTTGGCTCCAGCTGCAGAGGTTCCAGCCCATGGTCAGCTGGCTCCATTGCTCTGGGCTGAGGCAAGGTAGAGCATCATGGTCGAAGGGTATGGCAGATCCGAACTTCCTCAGTGCAGTCAGGAAGTGGACTGGGGAGGCCACCACCTCAGTATTGCCATCAAATACAGATCTCAGCAGACAGACCCTCTGAGGAAGTCAGAGCCCTCCTGATCCAGTCACCTCTGCACACTGCTGTACTGGGGACCAGGCTCAACACGAGCCTTTGGGGAACCCTTCATACCCAAACCACAAAACCACACCAACCTGGCACGGAATAGGATCAGCAGAAGGGCCTGTGTTACTGGTTTGGCATCTCTTTCCTGAACTCGTTGCTCTCTAGCCCAACTCCTGTACCTGGGATAGAACCCCAGAATGTTCTGCCACTGAGCTATACCCCCTGCTCTTTTTATTTTTTATTCTGAGACAAGGCCTCACTAAGTTGACCAGGCTGGCCTCAACCTTGCCACCCTCCTGCCTTAGCCTCCTGAGTCATTTGGGTTATAGGCCTGTACTACAGTGCCCAGCTGATTTTCTTTTTTTAAAAAAACAGGTTTTAAATGTAAAAACGTGAAAGGTAATCAAAACTGTTCTGGCAGATACCACAGCGCAGAAGCCTGTGCAGATTTTCTTCTGTGTTCGCTATTTTAGGCGTGGCTCTTTGCTCAGGGTTCTCAAATAGGGCAGGTGCACCCATGTGGAGCCCTGTCTGCCCTGGGCCAAAACACATGGCTCTCATACCTCCTCTCCAGGAGCCCGTACTGGCTTTGACCTTTCTTTCAGAAGAGAGTGCTGACCCCATGGTCGTCCTCTTCCCGGCCCCTGAGTGGTGGGGCCAGCACGTACAGGTCTGCCTGGTGCGGCCCTATGCTCCTCTATCCCTGGATGGGAATCGGAGATCCCAGGGAACCAGGAGTGGGCGTGATGGGTCCAACAGCCCGAAGGGCTGCTAGGCTCAGGGGACCTGCTGTTTGCAGCCAGTTCTGTCAAGAGTTGAGTCGCTTGTACCTGCCAGAATCAGTTGTTTTGAATTCAGGTTTTATACTTATTTGGGACTAAAATGTAATGGTTGACTTTTTAAAAAAAGTTTTGGAGGATATTGTGTTCCTGAATGCAATTCAAAAGTATTCAGATGGAAAGACTGTGCATGTTGTTTCTGGTGGTTGAGTTTGCTGTGAGCAGGGATGGACACTGGTGCAGGTCCACCAAGCCCTTGCGCTCTGCAGGCACCTGTGCTTGCTGGGCACCCTGTGGTCAAGATGCTGGGGGCTCCTAGTGCTGCTTGTCTCTCATGTTCTGCTTTTCCTCTCCCTGTGCGCGGTAGGTCTTCCCTCCAGGACAGCCGAGCTGGTCCGACCAGACATACTGTGGCCTCTTCACCTGTCGAATTTGGCAGTTTGGAAGATGGGAGGAGGTGACCATAGATGACCGTCTGCCTTGTCTTGCAGGGAGACTCTGCTTCTCCCGCTGCCAGAGAGAGGATGTGTTCTGGCTTCCCTTACTGGAAAAGGTCTATGCCAAGTACGTGTGCTGTACTGAGCAGCAGGACCAGGCTGGACGTCCTGGCTTGTGACATCCATGCGTGGCTCTTTGCTCAGGGCCGCAGAGTGCCTGGCAACCTTAGGGTCTGGTAGCCGGGCCTGTGGGTCCAGAGGCAGGTGTTCTGCTTTGGGGCCTGTGGCTGGCCCTTATCCTGCCCACTCTCTGCCTCCCCATCTCTCAGTCCAGGTGGGGTCGTCGCTCCGCAGGAAGGACAAACATGTCCTCCTTTTCATTTTCTCAGACCCAACAAGAAAGTATTTTTGCGTACTTGTCCTTGAACGTTCAGGAGAGGTGGCCTCTGCACAGTTGTTGGAGAGGAGCAAGCCACTTGGGTGGCAATACTCACTTGTCACAGTATTTTTGCGAGTTTTGATTGCACAGCTTTCCCTTTAGATTGTGGATAGCAACTTGCTGAAGGAGCTGACCCATAGGCAGGCATTTGAAAGGGCTGGCCAGGGACCTCATTGATATTTGTGCATGGGGTGTGAGCTCCAGGGACGAGGGCGTTGGCGTCTCTGCACCATTCTCGTTTTACACTTTGCCCGCACTGGAGGCCAGAAGGTGTCTGAGCATGGCAGAAGCTGCTGGGACACAGTTGATGGGCATTTGCAGGAGAGACCAAGCCCAGACTTGGTGACAACTACAGTAAGAGGCTTGATGGGAGTGGAGACTGGAAGACGAGAGGCCTGCTGAGGCTCACTCCACGACGCTATCGTCCCCTAGGGTCTACGGGTCCTATGAACACCTGTGGGCAGGGCAGGTGGCAGATGCCCTGGTGGACTTAACTGGTGGCCTGGCAGAGAGGTGGAGCCTGAAGGACTTAGCAGGAACCCGTGGCCAGCAAGACAGACCCCGTGGCTGGGAGCACAGGACGTGTCGGCAGCTGCTCCGCTTGAAGGACCAGTGTCTGATCAGCTGCTCTGTTCTCAGTCCCCGAGCTGGTAAGGCTGTGGCCGCAGGCGCTCCCTGCCTGATGCCTGTTGGCGCTCTGCCCCTTCTCCAGAGAGAGGTCCCCTCTTCCCTCGACCAGTCCTTTCAGTAGAGCGCGGCAGGACCCACATGGCTGTGTCCTGCAGAGAGTCTAGGAAGCAGGCGGCAGACAGAGTTGAGGCTGATCACATTCGTCATCCACCCAACTGGCGACCCTGCAAAATCCAGACCCCTTTTCTGTTAGTGAAATGTATCAAGGCTCATGAGGGAAGTTGGTATAGAAGATGTCAGCGACATGTAGTCACCTGTGACTTTTTTGGGTATTTTGTTTTTTTATAAACGTCTTTATGTTTTGTCTTCTAGTTTGTTTTTTGGTACCAAGGATTGGACTCTGGCACTCAGCTGCTGGGATCGCTGGCTTGTGCCGCCCCAGCCCCTGCTCTGGTGTTTTGTGTGCCTTTCTAAGCTGTTATGTGAATGTTGCAGGGTTTTGTTTTGTTAATGGACTTGCCAAGATTTTCTTTATACTTCTTCTAATGTGGGATGTTTGAGTCCTTTTGTCTGTCATAAATGATACTCCAGTGAACATCTCTGTAATTTCTATTTACATGTAAGGTGTTTTTTTTTAATATTTATTTTTTAGTTGTAGTTGGACACATACCTTTATTTTATTTATTTATTTTTATGTGATGCTGAGGATCAAACCCAGGGCCTCGCACGTGCTAGGCGAGGGCTCTACCGCTGAGCCCCAGCCCCACGTGTAGGATTCGTTTTGATAATGATTTTGGTTAAAAACATGAACATGAGTATGGACTGAAGCATGCAGGCAGCCTCGCGGACCCTGCCAGGCAGTGTCTGGGGTTGGTCAGGTGCTGGTCTGGGTCCCAGGACTCCCTCAGAGCCAGCAGCTCCCTGGAGTTGTTGACTTGGGCCTGCCCCAGAGTGGTAGGGCTAATTCCTAGCACTTATGGCTTTGCCCGCTGCCCCCAGCCCCCATAGAGAATGGCTGGAGCCCACTGAAGTGTCAAGGGCTGGGGTCAAGAGGGACACCGGAGTGGCAACTGTGGTGCCCTAGGTGAAGCCCTGAGGTATTCCAGGAGCTCACTTTGCTCTTTCTGGCCCACTGCCCTGCCTCCTGCATGTCAGCCTCCCTGTGTCCCGAGGTGTCACCAGGTGAGCCCTCGCCTGGCAGCCAGTCCTCCCTGTTACCTCTGGTCTGAATGGCCCTGCCTCCAGCTGACTTTGCCCCAACGGGTCTCTTGGTTCTGGGCAGTTGCCGGCTGGTCAGTGGCAGTGAAAGCAGCGAGGTCCTTCCCTGACATGTGGTGGCCGCCAAGGTCTGGGACAGGAATGGCTTGCACAAGAAGCCAGGGCCCGCCTTGGCTCTTTGCATGGCACAGTGTGCTGCTGGAGACTCCTGAGCTAACTGACCTGCAGTCAAGAATGGCGCTCCGTGGTCCTGGGCCCTGGGGCCTCCTGGTACCCGGGCTGGAACATCCTGGCAGGGTGACGGAGACCCGTGTGTTCTCCCCCGTGGGGACTCTGTTCTGTACCTGGGCTCTGCCTCACACAGGTGCCAGGGACCTGGGGGCATTCCATGCCTTCATCGTCTCAGATCTGCGGGAACTCCGGGGACGAGCTGGCCAGGGCATCCTACTGCTGCGGATCCTGAACCCTTGGGGCCGGCACTGCTGGCAGGGACTCTGGAGAGAGGGGTGAGTGTCAGGAGCAGGGGCCTGAGACCCTGTGGTCCCCGGCCTTCTGGCCTGTGCCTTAGTGAGTCCAGCTGTCAGGTCAGTGTTCATGTCTGCAGGGCCACTTGGTGGCACCTCGTGCACTGCTATGTTCAGGGCCTCGGGCAGTTCTTGGGAGGTGTGGGACCACCGTGACCCTAGGTCTTGGGGGAACCCGCAGACCCGGGAACAGGAACTTGGTTTGAAGACCCAGCTAAGCCAGGATCCCCTGGAAGCCTGGAGCTGCAGATGGTGGTGGACTCCCAGCCGGAGTGCATGCAGCAGCTCCACCTGAGACCACAGGGCAGGTGTCGTTCTGGGTTGTGGTGTCCGGGAAGCCAGTCCAGAGGCAAGAAGCCCCTCTGGGGAAGGAGAGAGGCTCCCGCAAGTGCTGCCGTGGGGAGGCCCCTCATCTCAGGATGCCTCTCGACACGGGAGGGGGCCCAGCAGCAGGACCACGGGGTGCTGGAAGGGGGGACTCTCGGGCCCCCAGCTGATGCTGCCAGCTCTTGGGAGCAGCTTTCCTGAGGGAGGCTCCTTACAGGGGTGAAGGGTGGAGTCAGGTGGAGCCAGCTGAGGGGGCCGAGCTGCTGTCCCAGCTCCAGGACGGGGAGTTCTGGGTGGAGGAAGAGGAGTTCCTCAGGGAATTTGAGGAGGTCACCGTTGGCTACCCCGTCACAGAGGCCGGCCACCTGCAGAGTCTCTACACAGGTAGGGCAGCAGGAGAGTGGGTCCCACGTGGGCACCCTGGGCAGAGCTCGTGCCCAGGCCCCACCCGTGCATCCTGGGAACTGGAGGAGGTTGAGGCCTACCCGCATGGCCCGGGGGTACAGCAGGGCTGTCCCAGAGCTGATGTGGATGCTCTCCTGCTAGAGAAGACGCTGTGCCACACGCAGGCGCTGCCTGGTGCCTGGGTCGTGGGGCAGTCAGCTGGAGGTTGCCGGAACAACAGCTGCTTTCCCTGCAACCCCAAGTACTGGCTGAGGCTCTCGGAACCCAGCGAGCTGTGTGTGGCTGTTCTGCAGAGACCCAGGAAGCACCCAGCAGGCAGGGCCCGGGCTCTGGTGGGCCGTGGCCCTGCCCCATCAAGCCTCCTGGGCAAGGATCACCAGGTCAAGGACTACCAGGCCGTGGGCCTGCACATCTGGAAGGTAACTGTCACCCCGCCCACCCCCGCAGTGGCCCTGTCTCTCACCTCCTTGGGCTGCCATGGACCCAGCTGAGCTGAGGCCCTGTGCCTCACTGGCCAGAGAAGAGCAGGGCAACAGCCAGAGGGGGGCCACAGGAGCTGCCCACGGGCCCTGCTCTCGGCCCTGCTCTCCAGCACAGTGAGCGCAACCACTCAGGAGAGGAGCTGCTTCCGTCCTGCAGACGACCCTCTGACTCCTCCCTGGCTCCTTCCCCTGCTTTGTGGGGATCATGGTGCTGATCTTTGACCTCTTGGGACTGTTCTGAGGCTTTTGTCACACTCAGCCACTAGATCCTAAACTGGCTGTTTCCTGGGAGACTGGCTGGGCTGGGAGCTGCTGCCCATCTGCCTGCCCAGTGGCTGTGTCCTCATGGGCTGGGAGCTGACACTGCCCTTTGTGGGCAGACCTGCATTATGGTTCTTTCCTCTTACGAAGGAGGGGCTGAGCCGTTTCCCATAGTCCCCCAGCTATGCTGGCCAGGGGCCTTTGGGGGCACAGCCCTGTGTAGATTTGTTTGTTTTCTTCTTGACCCTGGTGACAGGGCTCTGGGAAGCCTTGGGTCTGGCTTTTCCAGTTGGCCCTTGAGAGGATGAGGGTGCGGATGGACTTTGACCTGCTAGCTTGAGAGGCCTTCCTGCTGAGCAGGGAGTGGAGAGCTGGGTGCTAGGCGCTCTCCCACTGACCTCTGCCTGCCCTCTGCAGGTGGAGAAACGGCGGGTCAGCCTGCCCAGAATCCTGTCCACACCCCCTGTGGCTGGCACTGTGTGTCATGCATATGACCGAGAGGTCCATCTACACTGTGAGCTCTCCCCTGGCTACTACCTGGCTGTCCCCAGCACCTTCCTGAAGGACATGCCAGGGCAGTTCCTGCTCCGAGTTTTCTCCACAGGCAAAGTCTCCCTCAGGTGAGGAGCCAGTGGCAGCTGTGAGCAAGGGCTCATCCGGGGATGGGACTCTGGTGGCTGCCCTGGTTGGGCACATTCCTCAGACAGGCTGCCAGCACCCTCCTCCGCTCGTCCCTCCACAGTGCTGTCAGGCCAGCAGCCAAGGGCGCCTCCCCTGGGGCAGCCCTGCCCTCCGGCGAGTGGGAGACCCTGCAGCTGCGGGGCTGCTGGAGAGCAGGCCGGACAGCAGGGGGCAGCAGGAACTTCGCCTCCTACCTCTGCAACCCCTGCCTCCCTTTCTCGGTCCCCGAGGGCTCCAGTCCCCGATGCATCCGAATCACCCTGCACCAGCACTGCCCGCTCAGTGACAGCCAGCTGCATCCCATTGGCTTTCATGTCTTCCAGGTGGGCTCCTCAGCAAGGGACAGGTATGGGGAGGCCCAGGCAACCCCTATCTGTCCCATGTTGTCCCAGTAATCAGCTGCCTGGGAGGCAGAGCCTGGGCTCAGTTGGGCACATCAGCCCAGCTGGCTGGTCTCATGGGAGGCTGGTCTCTAGGTTTCTAAGGCTGTATTTGCTGGGGTCAGCTCAGATGGCCCTTGGCCACTCACCCTGGCTCGGAACATCTGTGTCCTGAGGTCAATTCTCCCCAGAGCATGCCCCCTACCCCAGGATCCTGGACCCTGGAGGCTGCTCAGGGGATTCTGGGCAGACACCCAGCCTCACCATGGATCTGGCCCCAGCCAGCAATTTCAGAGAAGCCCTACCCACTGGTGCAACAGGGAGTGAACACACCCAGGAGCCACCCAGGTCATACCACCTGCCCCTCCCATGTCACTGAGCGCCCTGGGTGGGACTGGCAAGAGCTGCACCCCAGTGGGGGGCAGTGGAAGTCAGAGCAGCGATGGCCTGGTCTGGAAGAAGGGGTGTGTGGGGCCAGAGGAGCAGACAGTGGGGTGAGCTGCTCCCGCAACCAGCAGGCAGAGGAGAGGTGGGGGTGCCCTCAGGGAGGCCAGCAGCCCGAGGGTGCCCCTGGAGCTACCGGAGCCTGCAGCTGGGGTCAGCCCTGCACAGGTGAGTCGGGAAGGAGGCAGCCGGGCAAAGTGATAGTCGCCCCAGTGTCATTCCAGAGGGCGGCGCATCAGTCCAGGTCAGCCCTGGGAGGGGTAGGGTCAGGAAGCAGAGGTCATGCCAAGGGACCTCGCCATGGGCCATTCTGGTGACACTGCTGCTCATGCTTAGCCATTCCTGCAGGTGGAGGTGGCTCAGGCTCCTGCCAGGGAAGGGCTGATCAGACCTCACCCGGTGCCTTCCTCAGCCCGGCTCTGTCCTGCCCCTGCTATAGCCAGCCAGGGGAGGCACACTTAGCAGATCTGGAAGGGGAGGGAGAGTTCATGTCTCAGGGTCACAGGCCCTGAGTTCTGTGGGGACAGTTCTGGGGCTCCCAGCCCACACGGAGCTGTGCTTGTCCTGGGAGGACAATGGCTGAGGATGTCCTGGGCTATCGCTGGTGGGAACACATGGCCTGGCAAGCAGTGACCAAGAGAAGAGAGCGGGATTTCTGGTAAGAGGGTCGGTGCCTCCCCCGGAGGAGCCACTGAGCCCAGAGAGCTGAGGAAGACACTGGGACCTTGCCCGGTGCTGCGTGCTGTGTGGGCCACCAGGAAGGAGCTCAGACCAAAATGCCAGTGCCCAGGGGCTGCTGGCCAGAGCACTCTGGGTTGGGGTCTGGGCAGTGGTACGTGCCTACCGCAGAGCTGATCTGAGGTTCTTGGGCTTGGTGCCACTGCCAGGGCCTTCTGGCAAGGGTGGTCCAACTTCAGTGGGAGGGAGGTTCAGTGTGTGGGCCTGGCACTTGCTCCCCAGAAAAGGGGTGCATGTGATTCAGGAGGGCCAGGCATCAGCATCTTGGGATCCAGCAGACTTCAGCTGCTGCTGCCTGGGCAGTGCCCCCATCCATACAGCCGCCTCAGGCTGAGCCCTGCACCCTCCAGGTCCCTGCAGGTGGCGAGAGGCAGGGCGCAGGCCCCCTGCTGCTCCAGGAGCCACTGCTGAGCTGTGTGCCACATCGCTATGCCCAGGAGGTGAGCCGGCTCTGCCTGCTGTCTGCGGGCACCTACAGGGTCGTGCCCTCCACCTACTGGCCTGACACCGAGGGCTCCTTCACGGTGACCATAGCAACCAGAGTGGACAGGTGCGGCTCTGGGCCTTGGGATGACCAGCAGGTGTTCTTGGCCCTGAGCACTCAGCAGCCTTCCCTGTCTGGTTCTCTGCTGACCCAAGGCGTGAATGGGCCTGCTTGCCTGGCTGAGCTGGGAGGAGGGTCTGGTGAGAGGCCAGCTGGGAGCAGGTGGCCCCCGGTGAGCTGCCCTCTCTCCACAGGCGGTCCATTCACAGCCAGGAGATGCTGGGCCAGGTCCTCCAGGAGGTGCGTGCAGCCCCTGCCTGCAGCCCCAGCAGCCTTGCATCCCAGTGCCTCAGGCCCCTCCCAGCCGCCTCACTCGGTGGCCTCTGCTACCCTGAGCCACAGGGCAGAGCTTGCAGGGACTTGGGGGCTGGGCTGTCACAGTCCCTAGGGGCATTTGGGGGGGGGGGTGGCGGGAGCAGCCCTGAGCCCACCTTTCCCTCCCTCTTGCAGGTTTCCCTCACTGCAGTGATGAAGGCCTAGCCGGGCTCCCACGTGGCAGCTCTGGGGCTGGAGCTGGGCCAAGCCTTGACCTGCCTCGGCTCTGCAGGGTGGCCACAGCTCGGGTCCCGAGTGAGGTGCTCTGTCCTGGAGAGAGGAAGTCTTGGGGTGGCACAGGTGCTGCAGGAGGGTCAGGAAGTCCTGTGGTGTCTGTCCCATGCCCAAGACCCCAGGGTCCCTTCCACATGGTCCTGCCGACTCCGGGCGGGCGCGTGTTGTAACAGGTGTTGCTGAGAGCTATTTATTACTTGAAATATTTTTTAGGACATGACTTTATAAATAAACATGAGCAGTTTGTGGGTTGGTCTTGTTTCATGAGGCTCAAGCCTGAAGAGGCTGCAGGAAGGGGTGTGGGTGGGTGCTGAGGTGGGGTGAGGGCCACGTGGGCTCTGGGGGTGGGCAAGGCTGACCTGGAGGTGGTGTCTGGGAGGACAGGAGTGTGGTGGGGCAGGCGCGGGTGGGCCCAGGACAGGAGGCAGAGGGCTCCTCGGGAGGAGGCTCAGACGGGGCGGAGCCTTCTGAGGGAACAGAAGCTCCGGAGGAGAGGGGCAGGTGCAGGCGCTGCCCGGGGCTGACGGCCACCAAAGACCCTGGGGACAGACGTGGGCTCTTCCTGGGCGGAGCCACTGCTGGATGTCTGTCCCCAGGGTCCTGCTGGCTGTCAGCCTCGGGCAGCGCCTGCACCTGGCCCTGACGTGGCTCTGCTGTCAGCCAGAACCCATCTTCGAGGAATCTGGGTTCCTCGCTGCGTCTCAGCCCCCCGTCTTCCCCCCGCTGCACACCCCACATGTCAGGGAGGGCTGGGGTATTGCTGTTCAGGTCTGGATGGGGTCAGCTGTCCCCAGTCACGTAGTTCTACTCCCTGTGGCCCTGGTCCTGGCCGCCTCTGTCACCCCCACCCCAACCTCTGCCACCCCATCCTGTCCTTGCCCTCCAGCAGCACGGGGAGGGTTCTGTGTCTTGGGGCACCGTCCCTGTTGGCAGGACCTGGCCCAGGGTCTGCGTCCCTTGGCGCTCCGTCCCAGCTCCCCCTGCTGCAGCAGCGTGAACTGGCTCGGGCCTTTTCTCCTTCAAACCCAGCTCTCCCGAGTCCACTGGCTTCTATGCTGACCTTGAGGAGCTGGGCCACCTGGGGAGCAGTTCTCGGGGGCAGGAGTGAGGGACTGACCACCAGAGCATCCCTAAGGGTGCTCTGCTGGTACGGCTGGAGAGCAGGCCGTGCTGTGACGGCAGCCTGCGCCCTGAGCTGACCAGGAGCCAGGCCGGAGCCTGCGGGGCTCCCACCAGAGACAGGGAGGCCTTGGGCTCTTCAGCTCCCGAGGCAGCATTGCCCACCTAGGAACCTGATTCCAGCAGGTGTAAGGTGACGGGAAGGCAGCCCATCAGAGGGGCCCAGCAGGGACAGGGGAGGTGGCTCGGCACTGTCACCTGCCTGCCTAGGTGTCCTCTCAGGGATGACCAGGACCTCAGGAGGCAGGTCCTGTCCTAGGTCTCAGCTCTGCTGCCCGCTCTCTTAGCTGGTGTGCACAGGAGGGGGTTGGCTTCCTGCGTCAGACCTGCCCCTGTACAGCCAGCTGCACGGGTCCAGTGGGGTGGAGACCATCCATGGACAGTCCCCAGCTGGCTACCTGGGTGGCCACAGCAGAGCCAGTCCCCTCTGCCCAGGAGACTGCAGGGCCTGGTTCTGACCTGTCCTCCACGTTGTTTCTCCTGGTGGCTGCAGTCAGTACCTGAGAGGATCAGGTCCCCCTGGCTGAGAGTGCAGTTGTCCATGATGTCTCCAGGAACCCCTGTTCCAGCAGGGGCCATGCTGCGTCTTGGGATGTGATGGCCTCCCCCTGTGTCTTAGGAGCCTCAGGCCCTAACCTCCAGCCTCCCCTGAGACCCAGGTTCAGCTTCTGTCGTGGTGGGGTAGTTGCAGACTCCCACTCGTCCTTCCTGACTGCCCCCTGACCAGGAGACGAGGTGCTGGTCACTCCCACTACCCCGGTAGATGTCAGTGACAGGTGGAGAGCCTGGTGGGCTCATGCAGGCGAGTCCTGGCAGGACTGTGTCAGCTGCCTCTTGGGACTGTGTGTGTCCACTTAGGCAGGACCAGTGTGCCCTGTGGTTCTCAAAATGTCTGGATGTCCCCCTTCCCAGTTTGCAGGCATTGGGAGCACCATAGTCCTAGGTGGTCCTGCTCACAGCTGCTGTGAGGACAGTCCTTCCTCTTGGGACACTACTTCCATCCATGGATATTGGGTCTGGAAGCTGGCTGAGGTGCATGTGGGCCAGCACTGGGCTTTGCATGGCTGCCCTTACTGTCCTTGACTGGCTTGGCCAAGTGGGACCTGAGTGGTGACTTGTGCTATTCCTGCCAACATCCCATGACTCCCCGCGGTGTCCCTGGCACCCTCAGCCCTGCCACTCTTAACATGACCTGGTGTTCAGAGTCTTCTTGTCCTTAGATGTCTGGACCCACCACTCTGGGGGAGCCAAACCCTGTAATGCCCACCTGCAGGACAGCCAGCTGGCATCACCAACATGGGCACAAGCCTGAGGGCTTCCTGTGCGTGGAAGTGACCCTGGATGGCTCCTATGGCACAGCTCAAGGTGCCAGCTGCCCACTTCCCTGCCCCTGCCCAGAGGCCTTGTCCCAGGCCTGCAGTGGCCTGACCCTGCTGGCCAAGGCAGCTCTCTCTATCCTGGGGGCTCCTCGGTCTGTGCATCTGAGCAGGGTTTGCTGAGCTGACCAGCACATCCCTCTCCCTGGGCACCTTCCGGTCGACCCCAGAGCAAATCTGCCAGTTGGGCAGGATAGGACTGCCGCCAGGGCCAGGGCCAGTCTCCCTGCCACCAGTGGTGGGTCTTCATTGCCAGTGAGCAGTGGGTGACCCAGCTCCAAAGCCCATTATCACTCTTCTTGGACCCTGGGACAGTTTGAGGACAGGTGTCTGGCCAGGAAGGAGAGGAAGTGGGACAAGTGAGCAGAGCCCCCTGAGGCCCTGTCCAGCCTAGCCAGCCTGTTGGGAGGTTGGACTCTGGAATGTCCAAGGCCTGCCTGAGGCCTCCTTGGTGCTGAAACACTTGGGCCCCACCTGACTTAGTGTCGCACATGGCCACAGAGGCCCGTCCCTGAAGGTCCCCACTGCCCTGCTCCCCGTCCAGCATGCTTTTACTAGCTGTTACTTTTCCTCTCAGCACAGTGTGTTGGACGATAATGCTGAGGCCGTCCACAGGGCACCCGGTGAGGGACAGCTTTCAGAAGGAACCTCTGGGGTCACCCTCTGGCTTCCAGTGAGGCCAGTAGGAGTTGGCACCAGGCTGCCCCCAGTGACATTTCTAGGTTGCCAACTGGGGTGGGCCCTTTGAAGCTGCTGCTGGTAGCCCTGATGACCTCATTGCCCAAGTCTCGGAGGCTGGAGGCCATCTAGATCCCGACACCCTCGCCCAGCCTGAGAGCTCTGCTGTGGGAAGGGTCCCCCTGGGGACCAGCCAGGGGACCAGGGGCTGTGCTTGAGCTGCAGCCCGGCAGCTCAAGGGTCTGTCCACCCAGGGCCCATCCCAGCGCTCTTCCAGAGAGCCTACAGGTGGAGCCAGCCAGCGCCCAGTGGCCACTGCAGGCTGTTGGTCGACCTGTCAGTAGAGGCGGTCAGAGCATTTGCCACCCAGCGAGTTCCCGCTCTTGTGGGGCAGGTGCCTCAGGTGTTTGCTCCAGTAGACAGCCTGTACACTGCAGAAACGTGCCTCCCGCAATTCCAGAGGGCCTGGGGAGGCTGCGTCCTGGTCCACACCTGGCTCTCTTCTGGTGGTGTCTTCCAGCACTGAGGATAAGGGAGTTCTCTGGGTCTCTGTGTGGACACTCATCTCCCCCTTGAGGGTGCTACCTGTGTGATCCAATCACCTTCCTAAGCCCATCTCCTGCACCACCTCCTGGGGTGCAGCTTTCAAGGCAGGAATTGAGGGGACACAGGCACACAGACCCTAGCAGCATCCCTGCAGCCTGAGAGCCCCACCTCCTACATGCCCCTTGACAAGCCCTCGGTGTCCCCAGGGGCCTGTGCCTACCCTTCCACACAGGGCTTCCCTGAGAAAGCCAAAGCTGGGGACTCTTCCCCACCGCTGCCCTGGGCAACACACCCAGAACTCTCCAGAACACTGGACGGCAGGGCAGTGGTATCAGGGCTGCCGCCACGTGGTGGGTACAACTGTCCCTGGTGGAGGGAAGGGAGGCAGGTCCCGACTGGCAGGCTGGGTGTGGGCGACAACCTCCTCCCAGCCTTCCGGCAGACTTTGGTCCACACCACCGGCCGATTCCTTCCCTGTGCCACTTCCTGCTCTGGGGCTGGTGAGCATTCTTCCTTGTGAGCCATGTCCTGCCCTGTGCTGGCTCTGGCACCTTCTCTGTCCTCGCTCTCCC